ATTACGTGTACATAAAAAAAAAATCAAACTGACAGATTATGTTTGTAAGACTAATTATTTAGAAATAACGTTTGGGTATAAGACGTCCAATTACAAATAAACGAGTAATATGTTCTTAATTATTAAATAAAAATAGGAATTATCTTACACGGTCGTGATCTTCACCTGGTACTTGTTTCACCGTTATCATTATTAGAACTGAATACGAATTTTTGCCGTAGCTAAAAATTAACAATTATTTTTTTCAATTTCCTTGTGACGTCATTTCGAATTGGTGTTGTAAAGTAAAACAAGCAAATACATTTATAAAATTTTATTTTGGGTGTAATGAAATATTCAAACTATGAGACAAAAATAAATGAAATTAAAGTAGTATTGTAGTTAAAGGATAGCCTAAAGCGTTAGAATCGGCTCTGGAATATAACTGACAATTTAATAGGTTTAAATACATCAACTAAATAAGTTGAGAGAGTATCCTGTTGGTAAAAAGCTCAGAACAGTGTACATAGAAGGAAAATATTACGCTATTTATTTCAAAGATTCAATAAAAAATTGAGAAATTTCATTTGTTTATGTTAATTGTGTCAAATATACATCTAACGTTCTTCCTTTTTATGTCAAGTATTGCTATACAAAGTGTTAGAGGTTAATCATACAGATATTATTAACCGAGTGGATAAAAATATTGTGTCACAATGCATAAATTATTTTATTAAAATAGTGTTTCACCTGAATCCTAAATCTTGTAGTTAAAAACCAATTTCAAGACGAGTGACAAACTAATTGAGTAAAGTAAACAACACTGATTACTTGAACAATAGAGTACTTAACAGCGGCGTCAATATAGCAAAAATTAATAAATGGTCAGAAATTATTTCAAGGACATTTAAATACTAGATAAAATACTCTTACCTGATTTGAAACATAAAAGATACATTACACCGTTAAGCGATTGTAATTAAATTCTAATTACATTACTAGCAAACGTAAATACATCATGATAATCTTACTCTTAAAGCCCCTAGTGGCACAGTGGTATGTCTGTGGTCTTACAACGCTAGACACCGGGTTTCGATACTCGTGGTGGGCAGAGCATAGATAGCCAATTGTATAGCTTTGTGCTTAATTACAAACAATACAGTAATGTTCATGTAGACTTGATCTTTACTGTGGAATAAGTAGAATTATGATATAATTCATTGCTATGAATCTTCCGCATTTATAGGTTTTTATGTCATCTGAAAAACAAATGGCATTTGTCTCTGAGTATAAAGGGAATATTTTGCACGTATTAATAAAATCAAAAGAGTCAAATTTACATTTATTCAACGTGTATTTAACACAATGTGATGAACAAACATATGAATATTTAAATTATATTAAAATTGAGCTGAGTGAAATATTGATGTGATCAGCTGGAGATTTTAATGTAATATTGAATACACAGTTAGATCATAGTTTTTCAATGAGAACACAGGTTTCACATAGTTGACAGATTAAGAGATTTGTTAAATTAGTTTTGTGGTGTATCGGTTTTTTGATATATTTATCCAAATAAGAAGGAATATAGTTATACTGGCCAAAAAAGGATATATTATATTAAAGACTAGATTGAATAAGTTATTCGTTAATGTTGACAATAATTTTCAGATGTTCTCACGCAAATACACTCATTATTAATCACACTGTACAGAAGCTTTGAGTCATAATAAGAATGGTTGCGCTTAGCTCTACTGGTATGGGTGATGAGTAAGTATATCAAGCCTCTACAAATACCTTATTGATTTGTGAAACGGCCCATTGCAACAAAACATTTCCTCCAATGTTTCAATAAATACTAAACTGAATTAAACCGAACACATTCTTAACATAAATTTAAACTTACGTACTCTATTTCGCTATATTTTCGCGACTAAACAAGAGGTCTGAAACACTTAAACCTCAGTATTAAATATTACGCTATCTGATATTCAACTGTATCATAATACACATATTGAAATAATAGTTGAAAACAACCTGTACCAGTACTGCATTACTAGGCATGCTCATAACATCTACAATATCATAACACCTACATAACATGACTTGTGGGAATGATGTTGTGGTTTGTTATTAAGCACAAAGCTACACACAAAGGGCCATCTGTGCTCTGCTCACCACGGGTATCGAAACCCGGTTTCTAACAGTATAAGTCTGCAGACATACCGCTGTGCCATTGGGGGCGGTTGGAATGAAGTACGAAGCTGCTCGTACGTTGGAAACAGAAAACCATTTCTACTTTATGACGAACGAGATGTTGACGTTTGACGAAGCTATTCTACAATAAAAAGAGAGAAAGAGAGAGATTTAGGCATAACTTATAAGGCAAGAGGGAAGTTGGACGCATCGCAGTCTTTTTATGTTGTAATGCAGCACAATATTCTAATTTTGTGCTCATTAATGATATATAAGGTGTTATATGTCGTCTACTGCTTACTAGCATGTTTCCACATGTTATTAAAATTACAGCGGAATGCTGTATTATAACACAAGAAGACTGCAGTGCTTCCAACTGATATTCTATTACCTTATATGTTATGGCTAACTCCCCTTTTAGTTGTAGGATAGCTCCTTCAGACGTAGCTGTCTCGTTTGTTCTAATACAGAAAAGGTATTGTGTGTTTATAAATCCCTCAAGTAATTTCCTGTATATTTTGTGACGTTATTTGCGCATTACAGTAGTGAAGTACTGGTACACGTTGTTTTTAAATGTTATTTCGACTTGTTTGTTATGTGAGAGTCAAGTATCAGATAGCGTAATATTTAGTATTGCGGTTTAAGTATTTCAAACCTCTTGTTTCGTCGTGAAAACATAGCCAACTCAGGTGTTTAATTTTATATTTATGTTAGGGACGTTTTTGTTTAATTTAGTTATGTATATCTTGAAATATTGAAGGATATTGTCTTTGCAATGGGCCGTCACACAAATCTGAATATTGAAAAGTGTAGGGCATGTTTAGAGCTGACATACTTATTAACCCTATTAGTACTAATAGAGCAAGGTTGTTTGGCGTTTTTTGGTGCAAAGCAACTAGGCTACCTGCGCCAATAGAGCAAGGTTGCTTATTGGTGTTTTATTAATAAATTATTTGAAAATGCCAAATAGATAAGTGAAATTTACGAAATTATAATCGATTTTAAAACACAGCACAAAAACACGAGGAATTAATGTTATAACGTGTTAGAAACGTTTGAAAAGAGTGATTAAAGCACATGCTCAACTGCTTCAAAGGAAAAAATAATAATTAAGGAAGAAATGGGAAATTGATTGCTTAGAAATAAAGTTATGTCAGTTATCCCTTACTGATAATACGTATCGCATCTATGAGGAAGCTCTGAAAGAACTTAGTATAACTCGAGACAAACACTGTGAAATTCTGGAACGAATCCAAAGAATTAGAGAAATTGACATCTCTACATCCTTTTTATAGATTAAGACAAACACCTAATTCACAAGAAGCTTTAAAGACTAAAATTGAAAGAATAATTCGGAGTTCAAATGAAATAAATTATATAATTATAGATCTTTATAATAGATATTTAGAAGGAACGTAAACCAAACTAGCGACTCTTTCTTTGAAGGCTTATTGATTTTCTAATAAAGAGTGAGGAAGAGTTTCTAGGTTCTCCATTAACGCTTATAGAATTTTGCTGCTTGCCATTCATGAACAAAAGATAACTTCCCTGGAACTGATGGCCTAAAGATTGAGTGGTCAATAAAATGTTGGCCTAAGATTGGTATTTCCATATTCGAGGTTTTTAACGAATGTCTGGAGACAAGTGAATTTGTAGAACTATGAAAAAAGCAATAATAACGTTAATACCTAAAGAGATAGATTTGTACTGATTATAAAGTATTTTTTAAAGCCACAGCAAACGGAGTGAAACCCAAATAAGTTCACGAGAACCAAATTTTGAAACAAGTTGGAATCAGGTGATCGTATTTTATTCACATAACACACCATTTTGTATGCCTAAGCGTTTGTTTTTCTAACGTCTCCTATACTATGCTAACATTGTTACATATACATTTATGTTTTTATATTTTTCATAAACAATTTGGAGAAACCTATTGAGATTCCTTTATTCAGCAGCTCAAAATTTTTCATTAAAGCCAAAGTCTACCTGTTCCTCTCATTACGATTTTGATAGCATTTACGAGATACAGTTCAAAAAACAAACCAAAACAGGCCGGTCGGTGTATTTGGAACTTATATAAGAAACTTCCCTTGGTCATTGAGAAAATGACTTCAAGACTCTTCATATCTAACCAGCTGGTTATGTATAGTCCCAGAAGCATACAACTTCACGCATGAAAAGGTTTGTCGGACATTAATTTAGAAAATTATTATATATATATAAACAGATAATTATCATATGATGACCACAATATATTAGAAAAAGTTTCACTGGAAAGTAATTGTCATATTTTGAAAATTTTAAAATTTTGTCGGGCTATTTGGAAAATTGTCATATGTATATATATATTTAAATAATTATCATATGATGACCATAATATGTTAGAAAATGTTTCACTCGGAAAAACGATTGAGCAGTTTTGAACAATTTTAGAGTTACGATAAAATAATTAAATAGAAAAAGAACGGCTCTTCAAAACACATAAATAGCATAGTGGCATATATAGATTAAAACTATCTATCTATCTGATCCAAAAAGTGATCTACGTTAATTAAAACTATCTATTTACCTGATCCAAAAAGTGATTTACGTTAATTAAAACTATCTATTTATCTGATCGAAAAAGTGATCTACGTTAATTAAAACTATCTATTTATCTGATCGAAAAAAGTGATCTACGTTAATTAAAACTATCTATTTACCTGATCCAAAAAGTGATCTACGTTAATTAAAACTATCTATTTATCTGATCCAAAAAGTGATCTACGTTAATTAAAACTTACGGAATAAATTTCTGTGTAAGGAATTTGAATCAAACATACCTCATCCACATCTTTTTCCAAGTCCCTCCAAACGATGACATTTTCATTGGTGGTGACGTCAGTGTCTTTTAGAGGGTAGATCACGTGACCTATGAGGTTGTACTTTTTTCCTCTATCGCTGTCAAAAACCGTGAACTTCAGAGTCCGTTCTTCTATTGCTTTATTGGGAATCTAGAGATAAAAATCTTCTGTGAACTGCTTGATATTAAAATGTAGAATGTCAAACTGATAAGGTAATGGTAAAGAAGTTTCTCTAACAATACATATGCAGTTCTTTAAGACAAAACTTGCCAGAGCAAGTACATGAAACAACAATTAATAAAGTTCTACATTGTTTGGTTCATATAATCTTTACTGGAATGAAAAAGAAAAAACTAAAAAAAAATGTTATTCAAAATACTGAAGTAAAAATAAAACGAAAAATAGATGTTTTACAAACTTGTTTGACAGTCAGATCTATGTTTTCGAAAAATAAAAATATATTAAGTTTTCACTGGTAAACATTGATTATATAACAAATAACCATTATGTTCTTACCTGGAAAACAAAATTTTCCTCAAATTTGGGGTTGCACGTTTTCTTTTTTATTTTTGTTTGAAGGTAGCGGCGCTCATCAGGAAGCAAGAAAATTCTAGAAAAATAATAAATGGTTTATTTAACTGGACTTAGAAATCTTGACAACATGTGCAACATAATTTTTTTAATCTACGGGAAAAAAGCAGCAGCAGAAGTTTTTCAAGGAAAGTTGCCTTATTTTAATTGGATTGAAAATGATAATTCAAAATATTGATTTATATTGACATTTAAGTTCTTTAGTTAACCATAATAGTGCTGGGGCCTAGAAATTGGAGGTACCCCTCCCCACGATAGAACAAAACACAACCATATTTTGTAATGCATTGGTATGTTAGAAGTATGAAATGGATGGTTGTGAAACAAAAAACGTTTTCACATGTATTTTGGTACGAATATTCATAGATACCATAGGTTAAAAAGTTGTGCTGCGGAATGCCGCATCGAAAATCATGAAATTTGTAATAACTCTGTCAGTTTTTGTGATACCTTAACAAAGGTGGTACCAAAATGAAGCTTATGTAATGGCTTTTAATACTGTATGACATAATTTATATTGTTCATATAATTAATCTGATACAATAAGGCACAACTATATTTTTTGATGTATTAGTATTTCTAAGTCCAAAAAATGGTTGTGAAATACCCGTTTTGACATGTTATTAAACATGGATATTTACAGGTACCTTTGACAAAAATTTCACCAAAAAAGCTGCGTCTTAAGTCACTAAATCTGCAATAACATTATCAGTTCTTGTGATATCTTTGCAAACTTTGTACTGACGTGAAGTTTGAAGTAAAGCCTTTGTTATTTAACAATATTTAACTGACCAACGTTTCACGTCAACTCATACAAGGTTTATTATTGGTGTTTTAATAAACTATTAAACATATATCTACACCAAGGTTGAAGGAAGACTGGCTTTTTATAGGGCAAAATAAATCAGACATATTGCGGTGATATGATAAAGATTTCAGTGTCTGAAAAACTATCAATATGTGGAAGAAATAACCGTATGTATAACATGCATTACACTTCACTCAAGAAACTGTTTTTTGTGTATGTATTAGGATAATGCCAAGTGAATTTACATACACTGATTAATTACCAGTTGTTTCATTTCAGTGATCTCTTTTGCATGTTTTACGAGTGTCTTTCTTCTTACTTGCTACTTAACCAAATTAAAAATGGCTTGATCAAATTAGCTTAACATGAGACTTAATTTAGATTGTTATGAATTATTTAACATGGAGTTTTTTATCTGTTGTGGTTTCAGGTAAGTTGACCTGGGACTTTCATACACTGGTGAAAGATGGATTCATAATCACCAGATAAAAAAGCCCGTTGGTTCGATACTAAAAACTGTATCACATGTATGAAAACACTGACAAAGTTCAAAGGCAATGAAACCGTTGTGCAGAATCCAACTCCAGATGGAATTAAAGCAATCTTCTGTGTCAGAGGAAGGATGACGTGTATGAACTATTGTGGCCTTTACAGAATGACATTCTTTCAGGCAAAACTAATGTCGCCTTTCACAAACTGTGTCGGTCATCATACACAAGTAGATCCAACAACTACACTTATCAATCACAGGGCAAATATGATCGAACAACCTATGAAGCCTCCTCATCTGAAGCATCGAACTGCGCAATACGTAAAAGTATCAGAGGCACTACATCAGAATTTAACATAAGACGTGACTGTTTTATATACAGTTGTGTGTACAAGCGAGGTGATAAATTAACTCAGATCGCAACAGGTATTGGTAAGACCACCAGAGAGAAGAAATATCTGGAGCAGCCGAACGTCTTGATGAAATTATCAATCACAAAATGTTGCCGCATACAGATTTTTTTTTTTGCATTTGATGCAAAATATTATCGTAGTTGCTACTCACATTACATAAGGGATCGTAACATAGCCTCAGCTGTAAATAAAGCCAAAGATAAAGAGGACTCTTCATGTTATGACAAAGTTATGAGTGCTATAATAGCAAATCTGAGAGTTATTTTAAAGAACACGGCTGTTACCAACCTGTCATTACTACGATCGGATTACATCAAGACTTTACAACAGATGGGGGTCGCAGGTACAGACAAGTACTCGTCTTGGAAGTTAAAAGAAAAACTTAAAACTACTATAGATATAAACTTGTATTCCTAGAAAAACCTGGATTATCTGGTCTTGTCTGTGCCAGCGTCATGACTGTAGGTGATGCACTCAGGAAGTCTTCAACAACGGGGTATATGAGGAGGATATTGCACTGACTAAGTTGGCCTGAACAAGAAACCAGTTGGATGAAGGGCAAATACTATACATGGTTGCAGCCATATTAAGAAATAAGCTGTCAGTTATTAAAGATTCTGACACATTTATTCGAAGTCTTGAATCAACATCAGTCCATGTGCTGAATATGTTCCAGATAAGCTGTATGACTTTATAATTCGGTGTGTCAACAAAAGTTCATTTAACAATTTATCAAGCTGATCTGATGACAGCACAAAGAAAGACAATCTTAAAGTCATCTCTGTTTGTCATAACATCATAAGCCAGAGCCAGAATGCGCGTACACCAATAACTCTGGGTCTTGAACTGAGGGTTTATCATGACTTCGGAAGCAAACAGTTGATTGATGACTTATATTCCCTTGGATATTATGTGTCATATGATGAAGTTCGAAGATTTCTGACATCTGTAGTTCTAGATCAGAAAACCGATTTGTTTGTAACTCGAGGTATATGAGGACAAAATGACAACACACAGATCGGTGGAGCAATTGACAACTTCGACCAGAATAAGGAGACCCTTGATGACAAGTCCACTACGCAAGCCATAGTGGCAGTACTGTACAAGAAATGTCCAATTAATCCCTCTGAATGTGGAATACTGAGAGTTCCTATGAAGTCATCCTCATCAAGAGATGCATTCAATGCCGAAGATAAACTTGAAATGTTAGTATCTTAATATCGTTTTTAAATATATTTCCATTTCAGAATTGGTCATACAAGTTGAAATACCAAACTATTTTTCTTCTTTCTTTTTCTAGGTCATGACAAAAAGGTATTTTTCATTTCTATTTTCAAACTCTTAACTATGTAGTTTTTCGTAAACGTATTTTAGGATAGCGTAGATGATGGTGCTTCTTTTTACCATTATTCACTCCTTTCTGGTAGACGTGGTATTGGTAAGTGCTTAATCTTTCTAGTCCATTTTGATCTAATCACGGTGAAGAATACAATGTGGTCGTTTGCTTTTCTCCTTGTCTAGGTACAACAAGCCTGCAAAACGACCTGAGCCACCAGCAGTATCAAATACCTCAATAACGGCAGTACAAACAAATGTTCCAAGTTACTGAAATGCTGAGAACATGGATCTCTTGTGGATACTTATCCGAATGCACAGTGTCAACCTCAATGTAGAAGAAAGACAAAGTCTACTGAAATGCTAGAACATGGATCTCTTGTGGATACTTATCCGAATGCACAGTGTCAACCTCAATGTAGAAGAAAGACAAAGTCTACTGAAATGCTGAGAACATGGATCTCTTGTGGATACTTATCCGAATGCACAGTGTCAACCTCAATGTAGAAGAAAGACAAAGTCTACCTGTATGGAGTGGATTCAACTGTCCCACTGTCTGATCTTTCCACCATCTAAACAATCTTAAAGAAACTTGTTCAAGTCTTAGAGAAGATTAGTCAGTCACACATATTAGCAACTGCTGATATGGATATTCACAGCCATGTATGTAAACCTCTGGTCAACCTACCTGAAAACACAACAGATAAAAAACTCCAGGTAAGCTAATTCGCTACAATCTAGATTAAGGTTCATGTTAAGCTAGTTTGATCAAGCCATTCCTAAGTTGATTAAGCAGTAAGTAAAGTAAAAGACACTCATAAAACATGCAAAAAAGATCACTGAAATGAAACAACTGGTAATTAATCAGTATATGTAAATTCACTTGGCATTATCCTAATACATACACAAAGAACAGTTTCTTGAGTGAAGTGTAATGCATGTTATACATACAGTTATTTCTTCTACATATTGATAGTTTTTCAGACACTGAAATCTTTATCATATCACCGCAATATGTCTGATTTATTTTGCCCTATAAAAAGCCAGTCTTCCTTCAACCTTGGTGTAGATATATGTTTAATAGTTTATTAAAACACCAATAATAAACCTTGCATGAGTTGACGTGAAACGTTAGTCAGTTAAATATTGTTAAATAACAATGGCTTTACTTCAAACTTCACGTCAGTACAAAGTTTGCAAAGATATCACAAGAACTGATGATGTTATTGCAGATTTAGTGACTTAAGACGCAGCTTTTTTGGTGAAATTTTTGACAAAGGTACCTGTAGATATCCATGTTTAATAACATGTCAAAACGGGTATTTCACAACCATTTTTTTGGACTTAGAAATACTAATACATGAAAAATATAGTTGTGCCTTGTTGTACCAGATTAATTATATGAATAATATAAATTATGTCATACAGTATTGAAAGCCATTATATAAGCTTCGTTTTGGTACCACGTTTGTTAAGATATCACAAAAACTGACAGAGTTATTACAAATTTCATGATTTTCGATGCGGCATTCGCAGCACAACTTTTTAACCTATGGTACCTATGAATATTCATACCAAAATACATGAAAAACGGGTTAATTTTTTCACAACCACCCATTTAATATTCCTAACGTACCAATGCATTAAAAATATGGTTGTGTTTTGTTCTACCGTGGGGAGTGGTTCACCCCAGAAAAGGCCCTATGCCCCAGCACTATAACGAAAGGTAATTTCTCATCTTTCCATTCGCATGGGTTATGTTGTAGATAGTGATTGTTTTACCTATGTGTCAAGACCTAATAATTTAAGTATTACCCGAAATTGGCCATGAAAACGATTGACAACTGTTTTAAAATATAGTAACTTAAAATTTTTTATTTACCAGTGAATTTTCTCCATAAAAAAGGTTGAATTAGTCACATTTTGTTTACATTCACTGTTTGACAGTTTTTCATTCTGAATCTAATTCCACATTACTTGTTTGTAACCAGAAGTATTTTTAATATTATTACTGGTTACTTTTTCTCTCTGTTTCTTTACTCGACTAGTTAGGTATCATTTTTGGTGATGTATATGTAGCAGTTGATATTCAAGAGTTCTCGGTTTTGTAGTGATGTCATCTTACATAATATTTTTTTTTTAATTTGCTAGTCTTTGGACTTCGTTAGTTTAACTGGCTTATAGTTTATTTTTCCCCAATAACATGGCTTTTACTTTTCTTTTTATATAAAAAAATCGACATTTTTATTCAGGTCCTCTTTATCTATCGATATATATTTTTAGATAAATAACAATTCTAAGTGATAAATATGTAGTGAACAATAAATTAATTTTCATAGATCCACGTTACACGTTTTTCTTACAGTCTACCTTACAAATGGATCACAGCAGTTTACAGATCCGAGAGTTCTTGAAGGAAAATTTTTTCCCTTTATTAACTGCACAACAAGCCTTTCTTTAGTAGCATCATATTCCAGACTGAACCAGAGACGACCTCTGTGGCCATCCGGAAAAAAGAATTCCTCTCCAGTGTTATCGTAGGAAACTTTGTACAGTTCTGGGTTTAGTCCACCCAAGAGTGGCGAGTCTGCATAATTAAGATTTAATCTCTGAGTTATATATATGTATATATAATTTGTTTTAAATTAAAAGTTCCTTTATTAATTTAGCTGACATTAACAGACTATTTTTATAAGTCAGGCAACTGTTAACCAAAAAGACCAACGTAGAATAATTGTTTCTGTTGTTTTTAAAGTACTTGGCAACATTTATTTTTTATTTAAACAAGGTGTTGATTATCAAAGATCTCGACTCTATAAATATGTATTTCTGACAAAAGTAATTTAAAAAAGGATTTGCTATTGTAACAAAATAGATAAATATAAGGTAAACAGTTGTGTGTTTTAATAATAATAGCTCCATCATCGTTTTGATTATTTTAACGAATTAAAGAATACAAAATGAAGTATAAATAATAGAAAATGTTATTTTAAAGTATATAATAATTGTTCCTGAACTCACCAGAAGGCCCTAGTGGTCCGTTGTCAATCAAGGAGAGTCTAGATCCCAATATGGCGTCAGGAGAAGAACTAGATGACAAAGACGTTTCTCCTGGACTGTGCAAGATAGAGAGAGACATGGCGGGAACCACAAAATTGATCGGCCGTTCTTGTCTTATAAAGATAAAATAAGATTAAAACGAATAATTCAGTTTAAATGTTCGCGTAGACAAGTATTGTCATAATTGGAACAGTAATGCTATGTTTTGTTTTCTCAAAAGTTAACAGGGCTTCTCTTTTACTTTCGTGAAATATACTTAAATATGCTAGTAACTGCACATGTTACTATAATACCATGAGTTAGCATCGTAAATCATGGCTGTTCTCTTTAACGTTAGAAAAGATAAATCCGATTCAAAACCTAATTGTAATTCCAGCACATATTCCTAAAACGTCATGAAAAAGAACATTACTGGTTATAAATATTTTCTTACCACAGCTCGAAGACTTACATAATTTGTTTAATTGCCAACATCAAACTTGATTAGTAAAGATACTGGTATTAATCTGTCATTACATGATTTCATCCAAAACTTTCTAGTAAGATACGTTTTGTTAATATGACTAGAAACTATGACATCTCATATCGAAAATGTCACGTTATGATCTATTTTAGCACTAGTTTTGAACTTTAAAGAAACAAAACAAATAATCTTTGGATATATTTTTTAAGAGATATATCTCATTCTTTATTAAGCTCTAGTGACAAAAAGGATTTTAAATAACATCATTCAACTTTTGATCAAGAACCTTTACAGTAATATATGTAGAGTTAATCGAATAATTTGAAATTATCATAGATATAGTAAAACTAATAAACTCTCTCGATCCATATTGGTTTTTCTTTTTCGGAAAATGCCATAGTTAACTTTCACAAGCCATTGCAAAATTTTATTAGGATTACGTTTATGAAAAATTCTTCAATACTGTTTATTAAATAAAAAGAAACTCTTCTTACAGCTAAATCTCTGTCTAAAAATTCTGTGGCTTGGTTTTATTAGTTTTGGAAATGTTCGGTTTTTAATGATACTTTGTAGAGGAAGCAGGCGTTAATTTTTTTTCTAGAGCCAAGTTGTTCTTTATTTAAAATTATCTGTTGTTTTTATTTTACCAACAACAGTTTTATATTGGGCTTATCATTATCATAGGTCGCTTTTGTAATTTCATCTTATTTCTTTACTTTTAACGTAAGTTTGGTTTTTAGTTACACTAATTGGTACATGGGTCTTTACTTACGTGATGCATCCGTACATTGATGCATCAGTCGATCTTCTAGAAGAGCGTTCGACTTTAGTGCCTTGTGGAAATTCTTCGTAGCTTCCTTGGTTTTTTCGACGTCGATAGATAGTAAAACCGACTGTTACCAGTACGACAACAGCAAAAGCTAGTGACATCAAAGAGATCAATAACGGTTCACCTGTAAAGCAACAATGTATATTTAATAATAAACTTAAGGAGTTGATCATTTATTAAACCAAGTGAAACAATTATTATAAAAAACTAAAAAAAACAACAACTTATAACACCTATAAGCACAGTAAACAACAGAAAGAAATGATTAAA